AACTTCCCTCGTGTTCTACTAACCTTCTACCCAGTTGTGACCAGTGCTCAATCCTGAATAGTCGGGAGCACCCCACATCCTGGAATACATTTATCCTGGACAACTACCCGGTGAAATAACTCTTCCGCCGAATCAATCGAACCGACAGGGATAACACAAAGACACACGGCCATTCAGGGAGACTTGTCATTCTGAGTGTCCAAATTCTGGAGTTCCCTAGATCCTGGTTGACCTTCCGATTTTGGCCGCGCTATACATCTCATACACGAAACATTTTCACCGACGTTGTGTCAAAAGACTGTGTCGTTTCTCGCTGTTGCAAAAGCGATCGGGGATGCTAGAGCTGCAAAAGAGCAGAAAGACAAAGAAAAGACGCTAGTCGCGTTGCAGAGGCGGCGCAGGCAAAATCAGTTGCTCGCAAGAAGAAGATGTCCAAGAAATAGATCGCGGACATCGTGCGGACAAGGCGGCGAAGGAGGCGAAAGCGGTGGCGCGTCTAGAAGCCGCGACGGCGAATAGAGCGGCGACAAAGGAGAGAGAGGGAACGCGTCGTGGGGGGAGAAGGAAGGTGCAGACGCACGCTTGTAGGCGCTTATAGATCTCAAGCGTAAGGAAGCTGGAGGGACATCCACTCCTGGGAAGATGAAAAAGAAGCAGTCCAATGCTGCTACGGACGAGAACGACGGAGATGCAGACGATGAGAGCGGAAGGTACGGCTTATATTACGCTGTATATACGACGTGTACGTTCACTAATCATGTTGCGTGTACAACCTGTGCTCGTAGACTGAGTCCTGCGAGTCGCCTGATTTTGAGCTGGTGTTGCCAACTTCGACAAGGTATGAATTGACGTCAAGTCGTATATACAACATGTTAGTAAAATTGACTTGTGTATACTAACATGTGCTCAATATCTTTTGCAGTACGGAATCTACCCTTGTCTCACCAGCACCTTAGGCAACTGGCTTCTCTGCCGAAGGGAACGCGGATGACGACGACGCGTTCAACACTGACCACGATGGAGATGACGCAGACTCTGAAGGATCGTACACAGAGTAAGAACCGATCGTGGAGGGAACTAGTCCACTTCAGTGCCTGCGACCGGACGACTCTGCAGCAACACTAGCCGACTCGTTTGCCCTGGCCGTTGGTGAGAAGATTGAAGAAGCTGGAGGTAACGACTCTGAAAGCAGTGGCGGCTGGGTGGATGGCGTTGCGGTGCTCGCCCTCAGAATGAGGGCAGCGAGGATACAGATGGGCGGGAGCGACTTAAAGCCGCGAAGGCGAAGTTGACGCGCGAATGGGATATCACAGTCGCCAATTGGTATAAATTGACCAAAGACGAGACGAACGTGCTTGCGATGGACGAATCTGCATTGAAGAAGATGCGGGACGGTGGATGGAATGTTGGTACGTTTGGTATGTTTTGTTTAAGTGGTATATACAACATGTTAACTAGTGAGCCCTAGGCCCACTACACCTGGTAGCTCTTTTTAGTCCGCCCAACGTATGCGCATGACGCAGAGCGAAGCAGCTGATCGAGTTTCTCTCAGCTCCTTTCAACAAAGCACTTCGGAAGTTGGTTCCTCGTCTACCAGCGAGTGCACACCGGTATCGTGTGCACGACGGTCTACTGCTTTACAGCGCTGTGGACGCATTGTCGTGCCGAATGCTCCTGACCTGCGCAGCAGGATCATGTACGAGTATCACGATGTCCCCACGGCGGGACATCGAGGATGTGAGTAAACCTACTTCCTTCTCACGCGAGACTTCTACCGGAACCACCAGTACAAGTGGATGCGCAAGTACGTTCGTATTTGCGATGTTTGCCAGCGAGTGAAGCCTGCACCTCACTCGCAGCCTCCTCTGCAACCGCTGCTGACTCCGTCGGAGTGTTGGGAGTCCATCGAGATGGACTTCGTGTTTGGTCTTCCGCGCGATTCCAGGCGGAAGACTGGTATTGTGGTCTTTGTGGATCGCTTCAGCAAGATGGTGCATCTCGCTGCTGTCGCAGCGGAGGTGACCTCCGTACAGACGGCACGTCTGTTCGTAGACATGGTGTTCAAACCCCATGGCATGCCCACCGACTTTGTGTCGGACCGCGATCCGTGCTTCACGGCGCGTTTCTGGCAAGAAGTGTTCACACTTCTTGGAACACGGTTCTCAATGTCGACTGCGGATCATCCACAGACGGACGCGCAAACGGAGCGCGTGAACCGTGTGCTCGTGGATTTGCTGAAAAGCTACGCCCAGTCGTTCCAGAACTGCTTGCCGATGGCCGAATTCGCCATCAGCAACGCGGTGCATGCCTCGACTGGGCATACCCCGTTCTTCGTGAATGCCATGCGGCATCCACGCCTTCCGAGCACACTGAGGGTGATGGCTTCCTCCTTAAGTGGGGGAGGATCTACGGTTGCGTCCGAACAACCGCAGAAGACAGCTGATACGGACCTATCAGCTGCGATGACACGTGCGAGAGCGAGAGCCCGCACACGACAAAGTGACGTGCCAGTGCCGAGCACTGACACTGTGAAGAACCGCGAGCGGGCGACACCTGCTGCGACAAAGGACAATGTGTCTGTGCGAGGCACAGACACCGCGAAGACTCACGCACAGGCCAGTCCTGTTGTACGACCATGTAACGTATCGATGCCGGGCATCGATACTGAAAAGCTTCACGCACACGCTGAGCCTGTAGTGATCGGACACGAAGTGTCAGTGCCGGGCACTGACATCCCAAAGAGCCATGCACAGTCTGAGACTGATGCGACCACAAGTGGTGAGTCTGTGCAGGGCACAGACGCGGACAAGACCAATGAGCTGGACCCGGGCTTCAGCTCTCAAGCAATGGACTTTGTCCACGAACGACAAGCAGTCGTTCGCTTTGTACAAGATGCAATTGCAGCTTCTGCGGATAGGCAGAAGCTGAACGCAGACAATAACGGAAGAGGTAATACAATGAATTCAAAATTGGTTCATCGGTTTTGTTATCTACGCAAAACTTGCCTACTCATGCAGTCTCTGTTTTCGGAGCAAGCAAGCTTGCTCCGCGCTTCATTGGGCCCTTCACGGTGACAGAACGTCATGGCATCGCATACACGTTGGAACTTCCTTCCGACATGAGACTCCACCCAACGTTCTACGTCTGTCGTCTGAAGCCATACGTGCGGCCCGAGTCATCTAGTCATGATGACTCGCCGACGACGACGCGCAGAGCGTCCTCAGCTTCTCCTCAAGCCGCTTCACCTTCTCCTGGAGAAGGCGAACTTGTTCAAACACCTGAACACGGATGTTCGAGGTGGTCTGAGCGGCTTCGCACATGCAGGCTTTCTGCAAGTGCAGCTGTTGTCTCAACTCAGCGCTCTCAGGAACCGTCGCAAGACCCTCCACGCCGGGGTGGAGCGCCTGAAGACCGTGGTCAACCCGGGGTTGACCATATGATGAAAGTTATGCTTCTGTCGGCGGTGCGACCCACCGCGAGGTGGATCGGATTGTTGACCATACCAGTCCGAAGACGAACCGAGATCCGGTTCGTTTACGTATTCGTTGGAGCCAATCGGGTCTCCTTCGAGATACGTGGTTTCCCCGAAACGTCCTGAT